TTTAAAGTTAAAAAAACACATTATTTTCCACATACACTCTTAAAAATAAAGGTGCTTCATGATGCCATAGAAGAACCTTTTTGTCTAAATGGTTCCAGAAAGAACCTTTAACATCTGAAGAACCTTTCTGTTTCACAAAAGCTTCTTTGTGGTGAAAGAAGGTTCTTCAGATTATAAAAAGGTAAGAAAGAGATGGTTCTTTAAAGAACCTTTGACTGAATGGTTCTTTGTGGAACCAAAAATGGTTCTTCTATGGCATCGCTTGAAGAACCTTTTGAAGCACCTGTATTTTTAAGAGTGTACTGAACATTATTGTTTCTCATCTATTCCCCGCCTTTTTGAAACGCGTCGATTTTTACAAAAATCATCGGTCTGAAAAAGCGAGGTGTGCTGTGATTGGCCAGCTATCCAGTGCATTGTGATTGGCCGAATACCTCAAGCGTGTGACGGAAATGTTATGCCCCTCATCATACTGTGATGGCGTGTCCCGGCCAGAGCGAAGACACAAAAACATTAAAACCCATTACAAACGAGGCATTTGTTGCATCCAGTGGGGACATAATTACTGATTATAATGACCTATACTGTCTTTTTACACGTTGCGTTGCACCGTGCCGCGTAAACATAAAACCCTGTCTGCTTTTGTGATCGGAGAAATGACAAAAGAACAAGTGCTACTCCACACTGCCCAAAACTCGCGTTTGAATCACTCAGCGACCAGCACAGATCAGCTCTAGGCATGATGAAGCGGATATCGTCCTCTTTTGGAAGACCAAACAAAGTAGTTTCGCTGTCACAACGAAAAACACAGCGGCCTAGCATGAGCTGAAGCCAGGCAAGAGTGAGCTGAGGCGGCGGGGTCGAGAACGGCGGTCCCGGCGAAGGAGCGGTGAAAAATGGTGAAAGCCGATCCGGTGATCCACAGCACTAAGTTGATGTATTCCCTCAGCGACCAGCACAGATCAGCTCCAGGCATGACGAAGCGGATATCGTCCTCTTTTGGAAGGCCAAACAAAGTAGTTTCGCTTTCACAACGAAGCACACAGCATCTTCAGGACATGGCGGCAGCGGCAACCATACTACAGTGAGAATAAAAGTTACCCCTTCTTTCTTTGCGTGAACATTTGGGCGGCGTTATGCAAATCTTCCCGCATAGTGAGGTAGATATGTGGGGGCGTGTTCGAACGAGCCGTTTTAGGTAGGTGTGGCTGACTCTTAACTTTTATAAAGAATAGCGCTTTGGATTTGAGATTGTAGTCTTTGCAAATTTACAGATCTTCTTTATGCACCAAGAGCTTGTAACACTCCAAAGAGAAAGGAAAAAATGAAATCGCATCATATGACCCCTTTAAGCAAATATCTTGACTTTTTACAGCGCAGTATTAGAGGCCAAGCACCAAAGTTGCATTTGGATCTAATATATCTGTAAGTTTTTTCACTATTCTTCTCATACCTTTGCCATTAACAGGCAGAACTGTATGAACATTTTTTTTTATAAAATTGTTCACAGTTATAGGGCAGTTTCCTGGCAAATTTGGTGTCAGGAAGTTTATAATAAATGGTCTAGAACCCACTTTTAACCATTTTTGTTCTAAACAAAGAGGTTTGTTTTGGTTCTATTGCATCACTTAGGTTTTTGGAACTGTATCTTGTTTTGAAATCATGCAAAAAGATTACATACCTCAGAATCTTTACATCACAATCCTGAACAATTTCATAGAGGATTGCATTCTTGCTAAATATCCAGGCAGGATTTCTGAACTTAAGAGTTCTTGGAGTTGGGCCAAGGTCAGATAAGCTAAACATTTTTAATGCACCACATGCGTCAAGATGACATTTGTGATATGCAAAAGCCACTTTCCTCATCTCTTAGTTTGAATTGGCATCTGGCTGTAAGTGAACTTCTGAACTTCTCCTCTCATAGTTGCTTCTGAGCTCCTTAAAAATAGTGGGGTGTATTTTTACTTTCCTTATCTAGTACAATTATGTGGTCTTGTTTCATGAACTCGAAAATTTCATGAATTGTATATTTTAATGAAATGTTACAACATGCTGTCGTTTTACAGGGTGACTGTTTTACAGGGTGAAAGTATAATGATGTGGGCAGATTTGTATGTATTTGTAATGGCGAACAACTGAGCGAGGAGACATGTTATCTGTGGGAAGCTTTTGAGAAATTTCAAGGTAAGACGACTGCATGTGATTTTACTAAATTTTTGAACTTTTTGATCTAAAAGTCTGTGATCTTTTTAAAGTGATTTTATATTTCCTGCAGGAAATCCATTGGATATGACCCGGCTGATAAATTATGTTTGTTCCAACATTATCTCAGCAATTGTTTATGGAAAATGGTTTGAATATACTGTAAGCACCCAAGGTTTCAGGAGTATGTTAAACAAGGCAAACGAGAACATCTACAAGACTTCTTTTTTTGTGATACAGGTACATTCATCAATCTTAATGCCAGTTCTTCTCTTCAGACAAACCAATACAGTTGGTGTGTGTCTCCACCTGCAGATCTACAACGTGTCAGGTTCTTGGTCACTGGATGACGATGTGGAGATCGCTGAAAGAAAAAGTGGAAAGCAACAGGAGAGAAGTGCGAGAGATGGTCTTATGGGAGACACTGAACCTAATGACTTGTGGAGGATTCATCAATTCCTTCCTCATCCGCAAACAGAGAGCACGAGTAAGCTATTATATGAATATATGCTTAATTTCTCTCTATAATGTGAGCAAATTGAAGCAAATCTCCTCTCTTACAGTGGTAAGTATTGGAAGCCAAGCACCAAACGTGCATTGGCATCTATTATATTTATTAGTTTTCTTATTTTCTTCCCATTTACAGTACCACTAATGAAAAAAACCATATAGTAAAATGTTATGAATCTTGGCAAAAATTATAAGGGAGGCACTTAAAAGATTGTCTGATCAAATGTGTTGTTGGTCTCTCAAACCCTCTAGCTTCACCAACAGTTACAATTTCACTTCAGTTTTAGGAATTTGTGTAGGCTAATTCTCTAGAAAACGCTTTTTTTGTTGAAAACACACCTGTTCAAACTCGTCCTTGAGCTTTCATCACATCAACCTAAACTTGGGTGAGATGTTTTCCAGATAAAACCAGTCAAAAAGATATTTTGTGATATTGTCAACCGTTTCTATGTGACACAATGAATGAATGATGGTGTGGGCTTCAAAGGAAGTGAGGTAAAATTTTCTACAGTGATTTCAACAAACATACAAAAAAACGACACCGGTGGAATTCGCCTTCATTCAGTTTTGTTTGAAGAAGGGATAGAGATTCAAAGGAAAACATAAAATAAATGCTATTTCACAGTTTCATAGTTTTTATTTTTATTTTCTTAGCCAGGCATTTCATTTGCATTACATTGGGTCTATTTTCTGATCTATATAAAAAGTTTTTCCTCATTTAGAGAGTCAGAGTAGCTTTATTGTCATTCCAGCTCTATACAGTTAGTATACAGTGAAACGAGAAAGCGTTTCTCCAGGACCAAGGTGCTACATAGACAAAAAAACACAGAACACAGGACTACAAAGAAACTAAACTGGACATAATTAAATTATATTAAATAGGCTAAGTAAAAGTTAACTAGAACTAAGAAGACTATTTAAAAAAATAAGCTGACTATAAAATAAGAACTGTAAATGTTTAACACAGACTACTACACAGGACTACATAAAGTGCATGTGTGCATACTGAGAGAACAGTGCAGACAGCAAAATTGTGCAAAGATTTGTGCAAAATTGTTTGTGCGGAGGTAGATAATAGATTGGGATGTGTGTGAGAGTGGTTCAAATCAGTCCTGTGTGTGATGAGTTCTTATCCCCTCAGTCATCTGGAATTGAGGAGTCTGATGGCTTGGGGGAAGAAGCTGTCACGCAATCTGACTGTGAGGGCCCGAATGCCTAGATGGCAGGAGGGTGAAAAGTTTATGAAAGGGGTATGTATTTAATGGAGCCAATTACTGATTTCTTTTTAAAATATTGTTGATTTTCTTTCATTTACACTTCCTTACCAAATTCAAACTGCTGCCTGCTCACATATAATGAGAAATTGTACATTTTAAAATATCAAACTTGCAAAACTAATGTTAAAAAATGGCTTTAACAATGTTTCTGGTAGTAGGACATGATGCTAACAAAGACCATTTTGTTGACTTTACTGAAATATCTGTCCACATGTTGTCCCAACTTTCTAAATAAAGTTCTAAATCTTCTAAATCTTCTGGGCGAGCAATGTACTGTGATGCATCATTTATCTCACACACAGACACACACACCCAGAACACCTGGACATGGATGATGTGCAATATAAAAAAGCCAACTTCCTCATCAGCTGGTTTGAAGAGCTGTCTGTTTGTGAGCGACTGACTTTTCGCGTCTTCTCCTCTCCCTGTTGCTCCTGAACTCCTGAATCTGAGACAACAATATTCTCAGGTAAGTTTGAGGTTAAAGTAAAATGTCAATATAAGAGATTTATTGTCAAAATTGATGTACATATTGCTTTTCATTTATATTTTGAGTGATAGATTTAGTACGTGTGAAATGCTGTGTTTCTACTAGATCATCTAAAGGGGTTTGACTGAATCAAGATGCTGCTGATCACTGAAGCTCTTCTCATTTTAGCTGCTCTAGGTAAGCTTGTGTTCTAGTATGAATATTACAAACATGAATACTGACGATTGATTATTATGATTCCTGTTGCTGCAGGATCACAGAGCTGCTGTTGAAGGACAGATATTTCCACTGGATATGACACTGAATTCAGTTGATGATCAATATAAGGGCTGTACAGAGAAAATGGCAGACCTGGTAAAAACAAAATATCTTGAGAAGGAAAAATCTGCCTCAGCTGAATACAATAAGACTTGGCAAGAAGGTGAACAGAAAGCTAAGAAAGCAGAGGATAACCTGCAACAGAATCATTCAGTTGCCATTCATGTTTACACTAACAAAGACTCTAAAGTATATAGTAATTTCACTAGAGCGACTCGCACTGACAAACAAAAATACAAAGAGGGGACGTTCAAATGGTATTCACTTCACTTTCTGTTAACAGAAGCGATACAGATGCTGAAGAATACATAATAGATGCTATCCCAGACAGCAACATAGTGTTGGCCCAGATCCGGCCCACATCTGGCCCACAACATTATAATATTATTTTCAGGTTCATTTTTAAATCATTATTTTAAAAAGTATTATCCCCGGATCAGTAGGGCACTCTTGTAATAGAGTAGCAGTGGCTAAATATCTATTCCACTTAAAAAGATGCAATCTAATCCTGTTTGCATGAAATAAAGGTTTAAGTTTATGGACCTGTTGCTATCCCAGACAGCAGCACAGTGTTGGCCCAAATCCGGCCCACATCCGGCCCCTGTGAAATCCATGCGGATGCCAGATGTGGGCCGGATCTGGGCCGAAACGGTCTGCTGTCTGGGATGTAACTTATCATGGTACAAATCTTAAATGTGATGTTCAGAGCATAGAGGTTCGTTTGAGCTCATTTTCGTCCTCCTCTCTTGATCGTAAAGTAATACAGGGTTTTGGGTCTAAATCTTGTTTTGAAATCTACACTTGTGAAGGTGCTAATCTGACAAGATACTCTAAGTATCCTGAAGAGAAAGAGGTGTTGATTCCTCCATATGAGACGTTTAATGTCACTGCTGTCAAAAACAGGACAGATCGGCCTGATCTCTGGTGTGAGACTGTGTTTGTGTTGAACAGCACTGGAACAAGAAGTGACCTGAACTGTGATTTGTTTAACAGTGGGAACCATGCTGCTTTCTTTAATGTTTCACTCATTTTGCAAATATTAGTTTGCAAAGTGTTTACCTGCTAACCTGTGAATTTTCACGTTGTTAATAAACTTTGAATTTCTTGTCATGCTTAATTAAATTTTATATTCTTGGCGCAGTATAATTTTTAGTAGTGATGGGAGAAAAGAAGCTTTTCTAAACTTTGCTTTTCTCAATTTGTGTATATCCACTTTGGTGTCAAAGACTTTTTCTATTTTACATTAAAGTTGCACACCTGGTACAATTTTGTGATCTTGTTTCATGAACACGATTGTTTGTTTGTTTGTTTATTTATTTAGAGGAATGTTACAACGTCCTATAGACAAGGGTATAATATATAAAGCCTTAAGCATGTTGTAACAAGTTTATTAGACAGTTTAAAACTTAATGTAACATTGTATTGTTTCAATAAAAGCTATTTATTCCCTTAAGTAGTAAAAAATAAACTCATTTGGGCACATGAGAATGAATATCAAAAAGTCATAAAAAACAATGCAGGTAAATACACAAACCTCTCCCTCAACATGCATCTCAAAAGACAACTAGACATACAGGTAAGCATGCTGGAAAATTCAAGTAATAATTTCTGAACATTGAGATACTGATATATTACAGGAAAAAAATATGCACAGTTAAACTGAGTTTGGTGATGCAGTGACAGTTGTCTCTGTATACAAAATTTGGGGAGTCACGTGACGTGCTCATGAACCTAGTCGCACTTGAGTAGAGCTCCGTACGTTTGGCCCCTTTTTGCTGATTTTTTTGTTTTATTTCAAATTTGATTCATTAATAATACTTTCCCAGATGGCATACAATCGGAAACAGCAGGAGTTGTCTCCATCGGCTTCTCCGATTAAGAAGAAATCCAAGCCACCGACCACGAGCGATATGGTGGACAAGATGGTGAACACTGTTGCACACTTTGAGGACATTCTAAGAACTGAGTTGACGGCGATGCGGAACGAGTTCGCTTCTCACATGTCAGTTGTTCAGTCGCTATGCTCTGAACTGGATCTTCTTATAGGGGAGATGAGAGAACAAAAGAAAGTTGTCGCAGATCACGATAGGCGAGTAGCCGCGCTCGAGCAACAGGTAGTGGACTTACAGGATCGCAATAGGTGCAGCAATCTGTGTCTGGTTGGATTTCCTGAAGGTTCCGAAAAGGACGACCCTATGGGCTTTTTGAAAAGTCAAGTCAAGTCACCTTTATTTATATAGTGCTTTTAACAATACAGATTGTGTCAAAGCAACTGAACAGCATTAATTAGGAAAATAGTGTGTCAATAATGCAAAATGACAATAGTAAACACTCAATTTTCAGTTAAAGACAGTTCATCATTGAATTCAGTGATGTCATCATCCAGCTCAGTTCAGTTTAAATAGTATCTTTGCAATCATTTGCAATCAAGTCAACGATAATCGCTGGAAATGAAGTGTCCCCAACTAAGCAAGCCAGAGGCAACAGCGGCAAGGAACCAAAACTCCATCGGTGACAGAATGGAGAAAAAAAACTTGGGAGAAACCAGGCTCAGTCGGGGGGCCATTTCTCCTCTGGCCAGAAGAAACCAGCAGTTCAGTTCCAGGCTGCAGCAAAGTCACATTGTGCAGAGGACTCAACTGCTTCCTGTGGTCTTGTCCCGGTGGCGGTCTAGGAGACAAGGTCTTTACTGGGGATCTGTCTCTGGGGCTCATCTAATTGTCCTGATCGCCACTGACATTCAGGGCTGTAGAGGTCCTCTCTAGGTACTGATCCACCATCTGGGCTGGATACGGACTGGATCCGGGTGACTGCAGTGACCATCTGATCTGGATACAGACTGGATCTGGTGGCTACGGTGACCTCAGAATAAAAAAGAAACAGAATAATATTAGCGTAGATGCCATTCTTCTAACGGTGTAGCAAGCACATCGAGTGTTATGGGAAGAGTTCCCAATTCCGGTTGACCTGATTAATGCAGCCTAAAAATCCTTTAACGGATTTGAATATTAGAAATGTGTTCGTGTGTTATGTGTAACCCAGGTTAAAGAGATGGGTCTTTAATCTAGATTTAAACTGACAGCGTGTGTCTGCCTCACGAACAATGTTAGGTAGGTTATTCCAGAATTTGGGCGCTAAATAGGAAAAGGATCTGCCGCCCGCAGTTAATTTTGAAATTCTAGGTATAATCAAATTGCCAGAGTTTTGAGAATGCAGCAGACGTGGAGGATTATAATGCAATAAGAGCTCGTTCAAATACTGAGGTGCTAAACCATTCAGGGCTTTATAAGTGATAAGCAAGATTTTAAGATCTATCCAATGTTTAATAGGTAGCCAGTGCAGTGTTGACAGAACCGGGCTAATATGGTCATACTTCCTGGTTCTAGTAAGAACTCTAGCTGCTGCATTTTGGACCAGCTGGAGTTTGTTTATTAAGCATGCAGAACAACCACCCAATAAAGTATTACAATAATCTAACCTTGAGGTCATGAACGCATGAATTAACATTTCTGCATTAGACATTGAGAGCATAGGTCGTAATTTATATATATTTTTAAGATGGAAAAATGCAGTTTTACAAATGCTAGAAACATGGCTTTCAAAAAGATCGCTACCGACGTGGCTCCCGTCTCTGGCGGGCAGAGATCGAAGTGAAACGAGTGCATCGCGTGTACACAAGGCTCTCCTCAGATCACGCTAAACTACGGGTTTTCCTCTTTAAACTGTTGCGGTACATGGACAGAGAGCTCATTCTCTGGGCCGCCAGACTTCATGCCCTGGTGAAAACATCCGACAGTGCAACGCTGTCTTTCTTTCCAGATTTTTCCCCGGTCACCACAAAAAGAAGAAGTGCATTTGCGCCAGTCAGGAAGGAAATGAGAGAAGCTGGCATCCAGAATTTTCTTCTTTATCCTGCAACACTGAAGGTCATTCTCAATCAAGTTGAACCTAAAATGCTATACTCCCCAGAAGAAGCAAGAGTTTTTCTCAGATCCCATTCATCCACCAACTCTCAGTGAACTTCAGTTGAACATTTACTGTCTAATGCTCTAAATCAGTGGTCACCAACCTTTTTAGGCCCAAGATCCCTGACCTCGGCCTTTATGAAAGACAAGATCTACCTATTGAAGAATTGATAGAAAAAGACATCCCAGATTGTACTTCAAATTTGAGGCCTTTTACTTTGTATTTTAATTAGTGATGCGCTGATCATAGCTGATTCAGAATTCAGATTTTCTTTTCTTTCTTTCTTTCATGGTCTGACTTTAGGTGTTATTTATTTATTTGCTACATAAAACATCTGCACGAAACAAAAACAGCAGGGCTGCGTTCAGCCCCGACAATAATGGTGCAAAGCGTTTTTTAAATGGAAACGGTGGTGCGTTGAACACTCTGTTCTGATGACGCAAGAGTTGCAACTATGGCAGCTGAGAAGGCCATTCTTTGTGTTCTTGTGGAGCCTGATGAAATCGGTATAAATGTGTGTTTAATACTGCAATATACGCTCGATGTTACAGTCATTGCCCTTGCCCTCCAGAATAAAAGAGAACATCCCAATCGAGTGAAGGGATTTGTGGAAACTGTGGTTCCTAATTATTGTGATCCAACATTTGCCTCGCATTTCAGGATGAAAAGACAAACATTTCAGGTGAAGGATAATCCACTTCTTACCTCCAAGACTGTGTTATGATCTATATGACCTTATTATTTTTATTGTGAGTATTAGGCTTATCATTATTGCTGATCACTGTTGTTGTGCTATGATATTGTAATATTTACCATTATATAATCAGAGCAGTATAGAAAAGTTTATGAAAGTGTCACTCCATAATACAATAGCAAAATATATAAATATGTATCGTATTTTTATGTTACATTAATCAGTATTTAGCACACAATAGCAGACATTACAATTACTAAATGATATTTAGACAGACTTAAAGAAGTTCCAGATCTATACTTGTGCTCTTGTTATTTCAGTTATTTTGCCTTTAATGTAAATAAACATGTGCAAACAATATACTTGCTCTTGTGAATTTATTTGGATGTTATTTTTCATTGTGCGAGCTGTCTCTTTAATACCGCGTGGTTTACATACATGTTGCTGCTGATTGGGCTGACATGTTTGACAAACAAGAGAAAACACATCTCAATCCCCGTTGCACACCGTTTCCAGGAAACATGTCGTTCAAACCGGAAACTGTAGCAAAACGGTGCACACTGGTTTGAGCTTGAATTTGCCCCAGGACTGAATGAGACGCACTCTCTGACAGCAGGTGGCGCTTATGAACAGGGTTGCCAGGTTTTCGCAATAAAACTAGTCCAATCTCGTTTCGAGGGGGTTCCCCTGTATAAATCGCATTCCGGGGGTAAAATACACGTTTTTCGGTGGGGATCTTCCAGTAAAATTCACATTCCAGGGACTAAATATCACGTTATTGGGGTCGCTTCAACCCGCGGACATGAACCCGCCTCACAACCCGCCTTATTGCTGTCAGGGATAGTCCAGCCTCATCAGGCCCAATCACCTCACACACCACTTACCACCGCCGCCCTACTCCCCGATACCAGCCGGGAGATAGGGTGTGGTTATCCATGCGGGACATTCGTCTCCGACTGCATTGTCACAAGCTGTGTCCCCGCTATATCGGACCATTCACCATCTGAGGGCAGATCAACGACGTCACATACAGGCTTGAACTTCCTCCTCACTACCGCATCGCACCGACCGTCCATGTCTCACTGCTCAAACCCTGTGTTCTCCCTCTGTCTGCCTCTCCCCCAGGGTCTGACATATCCGGCATACCACCTCCTCCTCCCGAAATCGCTGAAGAGGAGACCATCTACAGAGTCAATTCTCTTCTGGACTCCCGGCGTCGAGGCGGCCGCCTAGAGTATCTCGTGGACTGGGAGGGATTCGGCTCCGAGGAGAGATCATGGGTGCGTAGAGATGATGTGCTAGATCCCTTACACCTCAGAGACTTCCATGATCGTCACCCAGATCGTCCCGCTCTCCGGGGCCGCGGCCGTCCTCGATGTCGGCAGCCGCCCGTGGGGGTGGGGGTACTGTCAGGGATAGTCCAGCCTCATCAGGCCCAATCACCTCACACACCCGTTCACAATCACCGGAGTACTAATCAGCCGCACCTGTCACCACCTCATCAACATTAGCTCAAATGCTCAGTCACTGCAGTCACACTTCGTCTGGTCTTGAGTTCACTTCGCTACTCCTTACCTGACTCACTAACCCAGACTCCATCCTGAAACCTACCTGTCTCTGTGCCATCCTCTTCAGCCCGATCCTAGAAGGAACCCGTCATCACGTGAGCTAGATCCCTTCCATTCCATAGACTGTTGCTCTAACCCGTTTGCTCTCCATCTCTCTCTCTCTTAGCACCTGTTAAATAAAGATCCCTGTTTACTTTACCTCTCCGTCCTTGGTCTCCTTCTGTACTGTGACAATTGCTTCTTTATGCATGTTATTTTATTTGTTTTGTTTTTTTAATAGAGATACTACCTAGTCAATATGTGATATTGGGCCAATGTTGGTGCTTCAGTAATGTGCAGGTTTTTGTTGACGCCATGGATCATATTAAGGGGGGCTGGTAGATCAAGGTTTGATCTGCCATAGTTCATGGGAATGTGTTTATGTTTTTTTGAATAGTGAGGGGAAGAGTGGGGGTGGTTTAATGGTAGACTCAACTTATTTTCAAACTTATATTTTGTCTTATTATGCAGTAATTCTGTTTGCTACCTATGACTGACCTTAATATTCTGAGTTGTAATATTAATGGCCTAAATGGCCCTCACAAACGTACAGGTTTTCTGGATTTTTTGCGAAAGAAGAACGATTGGTATTAGTTCAAGAATCCCATTTGAAAGAGGAGGATATACACAACAATATATAACAATAAGTGTAACAATAAGTGTAACAATAAGTGTTATGAAGTGGTATCTCGCTCATCTTCGGATACTAAAACCAAGGGTGTCTTTATATTGGTGCGGAGGACTTTAAATATTACTATTTTATAGGGGTGTAACAATTCACTCGTTTTCTCGATGCATCGATAACAAACCCTGACGATGCAAAACATGGATTTTTGAATCGTGAATCGTCGATTTCGTACAGTAATCGATTTAAACCGCTAAGAATCGCGATTTCTATAGCGATTCAATGCTTTCAAAATATATACAGGTGCATCTCAATAAATTAGAATGTCGTGGAAAAGTTCATTTATTTCAGTAATTCAACTCAAATTGTGAAACTCGTGTATTAACCCTTTCGCACGTGAGTTTAAAATATTCTAGCTGAGCCCCCAGCGTGAGTTTTTTTAGGCGATCGTTATTTTAAAATGTATCGCCTTATTGTTTCCATGGCGACGCGTCATGCTTGTCATGTGACACAACGCAGCCACAATAGATCTGTGTGACACGTGGATCGCTTTTATTTCGTTTTTCCTGTTTTATTCAAAATATTAAAAAACATGCTCACTTATGAAATATCTGATATTCCGATTCTGAAATATGTGCAATTAAATCTATTTGGTAGTTTAAACACTTTTATATCGACCGTGTTAGTTTATCTAGGCTATACCGGGTGATGGGCGCCGCCATGTTAGTTCGCGCTGAATCCGAGCTGTAGGATTTTCAACACGCAAATTCATCCTCTCCTCCCGAAACACGTTAAAGTAGATCTCCGGTAAACTGAAATGTCAACAATTCTGTGTTTTTCTGTCAATATGGGGTGCTGTGTGTACATTAATGAGGAAAAAAAATGAACTTAAATGATTTTAGCAAATGGCTGCAATATAACAAAGAGTGAAAAATTTAAGGGGGTCTGAATACTTTCCGTACCCACTGTATATATATATATATATATAGGCTTTATAGACGGATAAGTTGAGAGTGTCTCTTGAAGGACCAGGCAGCCAATCAGAATTTAGCAGCCTCGTCTCTTATTGGCTGGAATTATGGCATATTGTAACACTGGGTTGTGTTGAGCAAGCGAGCTGTTGGCATTTAGAGAGCACTGAGGGCTGGCATTAGGTGAGCAAGTTAGTGAAAGGTTGCCCGCACAAAAGAGAAGGTCTGCACACATCCAAAAACTTATTTCATATGCAAAATTGATTTTCGTGCGCTCGAAATACTTTCTTTGCAAGACAAACATTTTCTCCACAAAACTCAGTAGAATTGTGGCAGAGATGTAATCCCATATTTTCTCCGCCATCAATTTGTCAACTCGCCTTACTCACCACGGCCAAACCGTTCGGAATACCCCCCATGTAACCTGATAGCACACACACATCACAGAGAGAGTTTCATGCCAGAACACTGTATTTGGTTGAATTGTCTTGTTCTAGACTTACTTTACAAACTTTAATTGTCTTGTAAAGTTTTCCTTAATGTAACATATTTTGGGAGATTGTACACTTCTGAAACACTTTTTAGCCCATTTACATATGGCTGCCAGGTACTTACAGACAGACAGAATGTGCGCTTGTTTGTGAAACCACAAACAGACCAAACCCTCAGAGGTGTTGCATTATCTGGTCAGCTAAACCGGTTTACATGAGCTGGATGCATCAACATCACACTTCAGCTATATACTGATGCCTCACAGCAAGCTAAATGCATTTCTGAGAATGACAATTAGCAAACAAAGCCTAAAAGTTAAGAATTAAATTAATCAGCTCTCTTTTGCCCATTTTGTGAGTAAAAACTGAATTTAAGCAAATCTCTTCTACAATAGGTGATTGAAAAGACTTACAGTGCAACCGGAAAGTATTCAGTGTTTCACTTTTTCCCCATTTTGTTACGTTACAGCTTTATTCCAAAATGGATTAAATTCATTATTTCCTCAGAATTCTACAAACAATACCCCATAATGACAACGTGAAAGAAGTTTGATAGAAATCTTTGTAAAATCAAATTTATAAAAAAGAAAAAAAAATCAATGCTGTAGAAACTCTTCTGTACTCTTCCCCAGATCTGTGCCTCGATACAATCCTGTCTCGGCAGTCTACAGACAATTCCTTGGACTTCATGGCTTGATTTGTGCTCTGATATGCACTGCTAACTGTGGGACCTTATATAGACAGGTATGTGCCTTTCCAAATCATGTCCAATCAACTGAATTTACCACAGGTGGACTTCAATCAAGTTATAGAAACATCTCAAGAGTAAGATTGTGGTGTCCCAAAGTTAAGTGCGCACACTTCGAAGGCCAAGATCCTGAGTTTGTGGAGTTGCGTGCACATAAATGTGTGACATCACTGGCGAACAGCCAATCATGAACCTTGATTAAAAGTTTTGCTAAAGGTTAAGAGATTGAAGAATATGATTAATTTAAACACATTTACAATTTCCAAATCATGTCCAATCAACTGAATTTACCACAGGTGGACTTCAATCAAGTTATAGAAACATCTCAAGAGTGAGATTGTGGTGTCCCAAAGTTAAGTGCGCACACTTCGAAGGCCAAGATCCTGAGTTTGTGGAGTTGCGTGCACATAAATGTGTGACATCACTGGCGAACAGCCAATCATGAACCTTGATTAAAAGTTTTGCTAAAGGTTAAGAGATTGAAGAATATGATTAATTTAAACGCATTTACAATAAAAAAAAAGTACTTGTTAATGAAAGAGGACAAATTAAATAAATTATCTTGCTCTATCAATGCCGTCACAAGCATGGACGTGCACAGACATTTTGAGGTGCAGGGGCTCAAGTGGAAAAAAGGGCACTTTTTTATTAAAAAAATGTTTTAAACAAACCGTTAAATATAGCCTATTAGGGGTGTGCGATATTGACAAAAAATATATCTCAATATTTTCTGGGATTTTATCGATAATGATAATTAGATGATATTTTGCTGAGTGTGTTATTGTGCTGATATCTTAAGGACAACCGTAGACAGCTGACTCCTAAAGTTTTTGATATTCCTCATATTCTGTGTGGTGATCAGTTCACAGCAGTGATAGAAATTAATCTTTTCCAATAAGTTTAAATTGATTTTTACCTTTTATGGGTAGTTTTACCTTTATAAAGCCATTTTTTCTAAAAATGTGCATCATCTTTTCAGTCAAATTCTTAAACTGAATCAGTCAATTAGAATAGTAAGTCATTTGGGCTGTTACCAAGCAAATTAAATCAGAATTGAGAAAACGCCGAAGCTGCATTAGAAGGGACATTTAGATGCATTTACACTCTGTTTAATGCAAGACATGAATGTTTAACCTGCAGTTACTAATGCATTAATACTGTTTTGATATTTTCAACATAAAGTGTTGAATACTGATATTTGAAATTATTTAAAAAAATGAAAAGATATTTTAAATGTCAAATTAAAACCGCCAGTAGGTGGCAGCAAGTCACTGTTAATAAGTGAGTCATTGCGATTGAACCGAATCATTTAAACAGTTGATTCATTCAGGAACAAAACAGCATCATGTTGCTCAGAGACGCAAATTGGAATTGTATTTATTGGCGAAATAGAGCAAAAACAGTCACTATTGTGTCTAAAACGTAAGTGTCTTAATATTAAATTCTTGTTTATTGAACTGCTGTATAAAATCAATATCACATTTTTAATCATGCTGCTTATTGGTGGAACAAATGCCAGTCTTCACGTGATACTGATTAACTATATGACATTATATAAATATATACATTTCTGGCCCCATATCTTGAATTTTGTGATCATTCTAAATGCATTTTAATAATAAACTGAATCATGCAGTGAAAGAACACGCACTGGTCTAACCCACATGGTAACTCTCTCATGAGTCATGGATGTTAGCAAGACAAATGAACTATAATTGCCTTTTGTTTTTTGGATAATTAGCTGTAAATTCGAGGCACAGATAGCTTACTCTGTTGTTCATCACAGTGGAAAAGATTCATTTCTCTCACTGCTGTGAACTAATAACCACACAGAATATGAGGAATATCAAAAACTTTAGGAGTCAGCTGTCCATCAGCACAATAACACACTCGGCAAAATATCATCTAATTATTTTTATTGATAAAATCCCAGAAAATATTGAGATATATACAATATTGCACATCCCTAATATATTTAACGTTTTGTTTAGAAAAAAATTTAAATAAATATGAGAAGTGCCCTTTTATCCACTTGAGCCCCTGCCCCACAAAATGCCACGTCACTGTTTCTAAGTAAACAAAAAATGTGTTTTCATACAGAATAAATGAGACCTGGTCATTGTGGAATCGAAATTGAAGTGTTTACCAAATTACACCTAAGAGCTGTGAATATTGTATAATATGTAGGCCTATAATGTAGAAAACTGTTTTTTAGAAAAATTTGTTTTTCAGTTGCAAACTGGGTGTAAAGTACTTAATGTGCTTCCATTTTTGGAGACTTGGTCTAAAAAATAAGTTAATTAGTCAAGGGTTTTCATTTTTTTTCTTTTCCTTAAGTACCACTTCACAGCAATTTTTGAAGAAAATGTAAAGGGGTCATCGGATGCAAAATTCCCTTTTGTTGTTGTTTGAACATAAATGTGTATTGGAAGTGTGTGTACACATCCACCCTATAATGATAAAAATCCACCCCGTGTTTTTTTTTTATCCCTATTTTAAAATCCCCTTTCTCAAATCAGGCTGTTCTGAGATTCCTGTCAGAATGATGTAGTTCTGACGTCATTGAATGCACCGATCCCCGATCTGCCTAAATGCGTTTATGTTTGCGCAAATTATTCATGATCCAGCTTCATCTACAGAAGAAGTGAGTATAAGGGTTTTTTTATGAATCTTTGCAAATCATCTTTCCTAATAATGTGATAGTTAGCCAGTTTCACGGCTGAAGTTTACAGTCTGCTCATCACCCCATGGAAGAGAGGGGCGGGGTCAGCAGAGCTCATTAGCCTTTAAAGCAACATGGACTAGAACAGCGTGCTGAAAACAGAGCTGATTTTGACTGGGGAAAAAGGGCGTTTTTTACACTACCATTGATACATTTTAACCAAAGTATGTTATAGACTTTTCATTAAGACCCTAAAGAATCATATCAACTTGTTCAAAATGGGCATCCGATGACCCCTTCAAAATTATATGATTTCCTATTCTATGAATCGGGTGGACAGCTTCAAGTACTACAGTCTTTATATCTCAATTAAAATGGCTAGCATTTAACAGTTTACTATTAATCCTCTTAACATTAGAAATGTATGGAACCAAATCAAATTCTGTTTGACTCAGTATCCATAGTAAGACGTTGTCAGCAGTTTTACCTCTGTTAAAGGCATTTTGCTCATGAAGGGTCAAACAAATGTAAAATAAATCAACTAAACACTTCACAATTTGCTCTTTTCAACTTCTCAACAACTTTTGCTATGAAGGTATGTGGATTATAAATGCCAAGTTTTAGGATGAATTAGAAAAGTTGACTTTTCTAAGAATATAAACTATACAGACACAAAATAAAACTTAGTTTAACCTAATATAACACTGTAAACGTAATACTTGTTGAGGCTTACAACAAAGAAAACAACAAGAAACAAACATTTCAATTACATTATGCATGGCTGTGGAGTTATTAGCAAAAAATGCTTATAACAGCGTCACCTTGTGGCTGATTTCCACCAATTGGAAATTCACCATGACTGTAGTGGTAGGCCATTTAGATTGACAGCTGTCATCAAAACCTGCATTTTTCTGTAAATCTAAACTAGAGGAAACATATCCCTATATGAAACCGGAGCTGGTTGGTTCAATGGTTCAGGAGAAAAATAAATTAGTTTCTAGCCTCAGTCCCAGTGCTATACAGACATGTTAAAAAAAACTAAATACTAAAGATTAGTAGATTTTAATATACACTAAAACAGTAAATAGTATACGTGATGACAAATTACTAGTAATTCTGAGATTCATAAAATAAAGTAAAGTAAAGTAAAGTAAAATAAAAAAACATCATCAACATCTCTTGACCTTCATACCTTGGGTTATTTCTGGCCCGGAAACAGATCATTTTTACCAATAATTGAAAAGCCCAAGTTGTAAAATACAACACTTATATAGTAGTGACATAAAGCCTTACAGACATAAACAGAAAGTGATTCTGAGTAATTTGTTTTTATACATACTGCATTTAGAAAACAACGTAAGGATAAAATTGTTAGGACAATTACACCTGATAGATCTGTGTTTATGCTACTACAGCCTTCTATGATCATGAATCTTACAGGGAGATATATATTTGTAATGCCTACTCCTGGTTTTCTAGTGATCATCCCAATTTATAACCTTTGGGCAGAACAGAAGTACAGCTAATAGCATATCAATCGTAGGCCTAATAATTTCCAGACGTTTATTCACATGTACGTTATCCAGACGCAAAGTAAAAAAAAAAATCCTTTCTCATCTATGCCGCTGCCACACAGTTTCAGTAGCCCCTCACTGCAGAACACAAGATCCAGGGGGCGTGGTTGGATCCACATCTAGGGGGTGGAGACTGGTAGGTTTAGGGGTGGAGACGGGTGGGTTTCGGGATCAGGGGGTGGAGATCGGTAGGTTTAGGGGTGGAGACGGGTGGGTTTCGGGATCAGGGGGTGGAGATCGGTAGGTTTAGGGGTGGAGACGGGTGGGTTTCGGGATCAGGGGGTGGAGATCGGTAGGTTTAGGGGTGGAGACGGGTGGGTTTCGGGATCAGGGGGTGGAGATCGGTAGGTTTAGGGGTGGAGACGGGTGGGTTTCGGGATCAGGGGGTGGAGATCGGTAGGTTTAGGGGTGGAGACGGGTGGGTTTCGGGATCAGGGGGTGGAGATCGGTAGGTTTAGGGGTGGAGACGGGTGGGTTTCGGGATCAGGGGGTGGAGATCGGTAGGTTTAGGGGTGGAGACGGGTGGGTTTCGGGATCAGGGGGTGGAGATCGGTAGGTTTAGGGGTGGAGACGGGTGGGTTTCGGGATCAGGGGGTGGAGATCGGTAGGTTTAGGGGTGGAGACGGGTGGGTTTCGGGATCAGGGGGTGGAGATCGGTAGGTTTAGGGGTGGAGATAGGTGGGTTTAGGGATCGGGGGTGGAGATTGGTAGGTTTAGGAGTGGAGAAGGGTGGGTTTAGGGATCATGGGGTGGAGACTGGTAGGTTTAGGGGTGGAGATGGGTGGGTTTAGAGATCAGGGGGTGGAGATTGGTAGGTTTAGTGGTGGAGAAGGGTGGGTTTAGGGATCAGGGGGTGGAGATTGGTAGGTTTAGGGGTGAAGAAGGGTGGGTTTAGGGATCTCTGCACTTTGAGCGCAGCTCCGACACGTGACCGTGATGTCTAACTTGTCAAATATTATGTCTGAGGCCTGAATACTATGGGATTTTGGCCAGACAGCTGGCGAGCGTATACACGTTAATTCTCCTGTCAGTTTGCTTAGATATTACCAGAAAGTTCAATTATCACACCCCATAAGCGCAGCTTATTCAGAGCGACTGC